TGAGTATGTATCAAAATAATAAAGCCCAAAGTCCATATAATACTGTTAAAGATTGCAAGAGTAGTGCAGTAAAAGAGTGAGATCTTGTTGTAAATATTAGGTCTTTTATTATTATTAGTATTTGTTGTATTGGGCCTAGCCCATTAGGTCAAGAATTAGGTTTTTTAGTCTCTATAAATAGAGACATCTTTGTATCAGATTAATACACAATTATAATAATATTTTTCTGATTACTCTTTTCAAGTTGGTATCAGAGCTCTCGATCCTGAGGGCTCTGCTTCCGCGCCTACGAAACCTTTCATTCTTTTTTTTTTTTTTTTCGTCTCTCGCTGCCATCAGCCGCCACAGGAAATTTTTTTCCGGGGACATCTTGGACCGTTCCTCTTATTTTTCCTCTTTACTCAGCACCCAAACAACACCAGATTATTTTTTCCTCACCCTATTCACTGTGTTCATCGTGTTTCAAGAAAAAAAAGCATCTTGTTCATCGCGTTTGACCATTTTCCGACTGACTTTCAACTCTGAACAACCACAGACGGGACCGCCACCTCCGGACAACCTCACGGTGGAAAGCCCAGCTCCGGCCAACGTCGCACGCGCTCTCACGTGCAACTTTTCTCTCGGCACGTGAAGCCCACTCGCAGACCACTCCACCGGCGCGTGGGGGTGGTTCTCGGCGGCGGACCAGTGCAGTTCTTCTCGTCTCCTTGTCTTCTTTCTGGATCTGTGTTGTTTTCTCAAATCAGACATCGTTTGGTATTTTTTCCGTATTTTTTTTTGGCTTGGAGCTTTTCTTTGACCATTTTTTGTGCAGTATGGCCTCTTCTCAAGGGAGTTCCTTTACAAAGTTTTATGATGGTGCATCTTCTAGACCTAAGAGAGATGATTGATTTTGTTCTTATTGTAAAAGAACAGGTTATATCAAGGATTTATGCTTTCGCCTCCATGGAAAGCAAACTGTCTTAGAAAAAATGGCAAGGATGCGTGGTCAAGCGCATTTTCCTTCCTCTGAAATAACTCCTGCACCTAATGACACCCAACCTGCATTTTGTCCAGATGAATTGGAATGGCTCCGAACCATCCTTGATTATCTGAGTAAGCCATCTGATACTAGTGCTTTGGCTATGACTGATATGAGCTCCAAAACTCATTCTTTCCTTTCTTCATGTAGTGATTTTAAACATTCTTGGGTTGTTGATTCTGGTGCTACTAATCATATGGCTTGTTGTGCTGACTCCTTTACTTCTTATCATCCTACCATTGGAACCCATACAATAGCCATAGCTGATGGCTCACATACATTAGTTGCGGGTTCTTGTAACATCAACTTACAGCAGTCCTTACATCTTAAAGATGCTCTTCATGTTCCTAAACTCTCCATGAATCTTCTTTCTATTCATAAAATTACAAAAGATTTAAATTGTACTGTAACCTTCTTCCCTACCCATTGTGTTTTTCAGGATCTCGCCACGGGGAAGACGATTGGTAGTGCTAAAGAGCAAGGTGGGCTGTACTATCTGGTGTCACAATCTCCCGCAAATAAAGTAACAGATCACATCTTCATGTCTCATGGTCAATCAATTGCTGATTTTTTGATTTGGCTTCATCATAAGCGTTTGGGACATCCTCCTTTTAGTTTACTCAAGTCTCTATTTCCATCATTGTTTTTGTCTAAGTCTGTTCAGTCTTTTCATTGTGATGTTTGTGAGTTTGCTAAGCATCATCGTGTGTTTTTTCCTTCTAGTAGTACTAAGAGGGTTGAACCTTTTGATCTTATTCACTCTGATGTTTGGGGTCCTTCTAAAGTCCCTCATGCTTCTGGAAATAGATGGTTTTTTTCTTTTATTGATGATTGCACTCGTGTAACTTGGGTTTACTTAATGCGTGAAAAGTCTGAGGTACCACATCTGTTCTTTCAATTTTATAAAATGGTTGAGACCCAATTTAGTAAAAAAATCAAGAGACTAAGAACAGATAATGGTACTGAATATGTTAATCACAATTTTTCCCAATTTATACGAAATAACGGTATGATTCGTGAACTTACTTGTGTTGACACCCCTCAACAAAATGGGGTTTCTGAAAGAAAAAATCGTCACTTTCTTGAAGTGGCTCGTACATTATTGTTTCAGACACATGTACCTAAATACTATTGGGGAGATGCTATTCTTACTGCAACATTCTTGATCAACCGTTTACCAACTCGGATACTTGACCATGTAAGTCCTATTCACTCTATAACTTCTTTTTTCCCTTCCAACTATGAGTCTTCCTCCACGAGTGTTTAGGAGTGTCGCTTTTGCTCATGTTCATAAACATCATCACAGTAAGTTGGACCCTAGGGCTATTAAATGTGTTTTTCTTGGTTATGTTCCCGATAAGAAGGGCTACAAGTGCTATCACCCTGGTAGTAGGAAATTTTTTGTTTCTATAGATGTTACATTTCAGGAATCTGAGTCCTTTTTCCAAGGTCCTCATCTTCAGGGGGAGAATCCTTCAACAGAAAGCTCATCACCTCCCTTCTTTGAGTCTTCAGTGTCTACTCCTTTACCTGTGTCAGTGTATCCTCCTCTTGTCCCTATTGTTCCTGTTCCTTCTGTGTCTGATCCTCTTGTGAGTGATCCTCCTGTGACTGATCCTTCTGTGACTGATACATCAAGTTCACCAGAGATACGGAAGATTATGACACCTAAGTTGGTATATCAAAGAAGGAAACAACACATTGCCTCAGCAACAACCTCAATCGTCTGAACCACTGGTAAGTCCTAAATATCATATTTCTGATGACTTACCCATTACTACTGATTCTGATGATTTACCAATTGCTCTTAGAAAAGGAAAAAGATCTTGTCCTAAGAAATCTTGTTCCTCCTGTCCCTCTTGTACTCAATACCCTATCTCCAATTTTGTTTCCTCTGCTAATCTTTTTGTGCAGCACAAAAGCTTTGTTTCAGCACTAGACTCTATTGCAATCCCAAAATCAGTACATGAAGCCTTGAAAGATGGGAATTGGGCTCAAGCCATGCAAGAGGAGATGAATGCGTTGGAGAAAAATAAAACATGAGAGGTTATTGATAGACCTAATGGAAAGAAAGCAGTAGGGTGCAGATGGGTTTATGCCCTGAAATATGATTCTGATGGAACTCTTGAGAGATACAAAACTCGATTAGTTGTCAAAGGTTACACTCAAATTTATGGCATTGATTATGAAGAAACATTTGCTCCAGTTGCAAAGATGAATACGGTGAGAGTCTTGTTGTCCCTTGTTGCCCATTACGATTGGGATATAAATCAGTTTGATGTGAAAAATGCTTTCCTCAATGGTGAGTTAGAAGAAGAAGTCTACATGGAAATCCCGTCTGGTTTTGATTCTGTGAAAGGAGAAAATAAAGTTTGTAGATTAAAAAAGGCCTTGTATGGATTGAAGCAGTCACCTCGTGCCTGGTTTGGAAGGTTTACTAAGGTTATGATGACCTTAGGATACAGACAGAGTCAAGGAGATCACACTCTTTTCTTCAAGCATTCCCATAATGGGAAGCTTATTGTGCTCCTTGTATATATTGATGATATTATTATCACAGGTGATGATTTTGTGGAGAAACAGATTCTGCAAACACGGCTTGCCTCTGAGTTTGAAGTCAAAGATCTTGGGAAACTGAGATATTTCCTAGGGATAGAAGTAGCTCATTCAAGGAAAGGAATTTATTCAGTCAGAGAAAATATGTTCTTGATCTTCTCAAAGAAGCAGGAAAGCTCGGGTATAAACCCTCTAATACTCTTATTGAGCAGAATCACAAGATAGGCTATGAAGAGGAGAGTCCTCCAGTTGATAAAGGACAATATCAACGGCTAGTTGAGAAATTGATATATTTGGCTCATACTAGACCAGACCTAGCTTATGTTGTTAGTGTTGTCAGTCAGTTTATGCACGATCCAAAGGAGAAACACATGCAGGTAGTAGAGAGAATTCTTCAGTATCTTAAAGCTACTCCTGGTAAAAGATTGTTATTCCGACGTAATGACAATCTCTCTTTAGAAGTCTACACTGATGCTGATTATGCTGGATCCGTGACTGACCGTCGATCTACCACTGATTATTGCATGTTTCTTTGTGGTAACTTAGTGACATGGAGAAGTAAGAAACAAGATATGGTTGCCAGGTCAAGTGCAGAAGCTGAATTTCGAGCTATGGCTCAAGGCATTTGTGAGTAACTGTGGCTGAAAATTATACTTGATGGTCTCAAAATAAAATGTGAGGGAACTATGAAGCTGCTATGTGACAATAAGTTCGTTATTTGTATAGCTCATAATCCGGTTCAACATGATCGGACTAAACATATTGAGGTCGACCGCCATTTCATCAAAGAGAAACTTGATAGCGGGTTGATTATCACTCTATACATTCCCACTGGGCGTCAATTAGCTGATCTATTGACAAAGGGCCTTCAGACAGATTTCAAGAACTTACTAGCAAGCTGGGAGTGATAAATATTTATTCCTCAGCTTGAGGGGGAGTGTTGTAAATATTAGGTCTTTTATTATTATTAGTATTTGTTGTATTGGGCCAAGCCCATTAGGTCAAGAATTAGGTTTTTTAGTCTCTATAAATAGAGACCTCTTTGTATCAGATTAATACACAATTATAATAATATTTTTCTAATTACTCTTTTCAAGTGATCTAAAGAAAGCTTTGTCAACTGTTTCATACCAAATTTTTAACATGAAATTTAAGACTAGACCATCCACTTTTAAGTTGCATGTCAAATATTTTTTGTTCGAAAAAAAAAAATTAATTTAGGAACATTAAACACAGGAGTGGTTAATGTAATAATCTCATACCGAATAAACCACTTAACTGGTTAATTTTCATAAATTGGATTTTTTTTTTTTGCCAAAATTTCATAAATCATAGCTTTCCCAAACATAAGCACTGCCCCAGCAGTACTGATGTAAAGAATAAATTGAAGGAAAAGAGTCTATAACAAGATTCAAATGAGCACCATTGATCCGGACAATCAGTGTACGAGGAAGGGTTAAATCATCCCAGACATAATCAGCACTGCATGCAGGTCCCAGAACCTCTGGCTCTAATGAACCCTGGAAATTTCTCAAATGATGTGAGGGACAGAAGAATAAAAAGGTGAGCGATCGAGTGAAAATGGAAAACAAATAGAATTGTTATACAACCTTTTGATAATAAGTTATTGATAGACCATGCAAACAATTCTCAATTCGATATGGCAGACTCAGATTTGGTGGCTTACAGAAACTCAAAACAAGAGTAGAACCTTCTTCTACTACGTGAACAGCTGCAAATTGTGTCATTGTGTTGTCTGAAATTGTAACTTCACTAGTCTGTTTTCGGAATTTTAGGAAAAAATGCCCTAGTGAAGCTATACACACTGGCCCAGACCATCCAAATCCAGGCTCATTTGTTTGAATCTGAATATATAGCAAGGAATTGTCACTGGAACTTCTGTGCTTTCTGATGAAATGCTCAAATACACTGAACTCTCTTGTCTTGCTAATTCCTTCCTTCAGTTGAATTGGCATTCTCTGTTTGCTGTCAACGGAGATAACACCTGCCACCTCGTCCTTCACAGACAGCCAAGTTACTTTCAAGTTACTGAAGAAAAATACACACTCACATACACACTTAAACTCGCATGTACTTAAAGCATACCTGAAAATAGCATTGGCGAACAGTGATACATCCTTCAGATTCATTACAAATAACATATCGTGGAACCAAAGTCACCGTTTGTGATGGCACAACAATTTCTCCTGAAGAAGGACCAATAGACACTCCAAGCTTTGTTACAGATTTAATCCCAGATCCTTCTTCTTTCTTAAAGCTTATTTCTGCAAGGCCTGATAAAGAACCCAAGTCTAGTCGTGCGTCAGATGTATGGTCATCCAGCAATTTCAATTGCACTCTTTCAGATCTGGAAACATGGAGTAAGACATTGTAGAAAAACACATAACATATTAACTCCACCAAATCTAGATAGCATTACAAGAAAGCACAAATTTGACATATTAAACCAATAAATGATGGACAGTAACTCATCTTACTTTAAGAACCATGATCTGTTTGACTTTGGAGGCAAACATGTGCCTAGCTCCGATAGAATGTTTGAATTCAAATTGTCTAATTCAATTCTGCATTCGAAGTGCCAACCAATATGTCAAGAATGGACAAAGTAGAGATTAATGTTCCTATTAACAATCTAAAGGTGTAGGAATCACCTGGATAGAGGCCACCTTTTAGTTGCAAGAACATAAATCGGAAAGTCTGTATCATTCTTCATGGAATAGGATGCAAAAATAACAACCTGCATGCAGCTCCACAGATTCACAAGATACTAGAGTAACCAAACCAATCCATATGGAACTTCACAATTAGATATCTATTCTACTCAATGTTAATGAATACAAAGGCTAGCATAATAACCTCCAGCATGCCCCTGTTTCCACGGTACAGTCTCAAAGTTGCAAAAAAATTTCCTTCATCAAAGTCCAAATTTATATCCAGATGTTGGACATCATTGTTCTGCTTCAGTAACTTCTTCACACAATCCCCACTATTTATGGGCTTGGAACTTAAATTAGAAGAACTTAGAGTAACAGTGAAGTATATAACTGCTGGATTGGCATAAAAGTCAACAGTTGAACCATATGATATAGTTGCCTGCTTCCCAATTTTGTCATATCCGACCAGATTCAACTGATCTGCATCACAATTAAAAGTAAAAGTTAATTCAGTGTCAAAAGAAAAACATTCTTCAAAGCATGCATTTCTTTACCTGTTTCACTTAAAAGGACATCTATCTCAGAATGCAATAGATTGGTCATCCGTACAGTAGGAAGAAGATATATTTCTTTCTGCTCTAGCAATGAAACTGTTGAATTCTCGTTTTTTAACACAGCTGCAGACTTTTCATGTGGTGCAATTGGGATATCTCTGGCGATTGTCTGAATGAGAAAATGCATAGTGCCTATACATACACCCTCAGACTTGAGGATGCAATGTGCTGTGCTAAAGGAACATTTAACTGATTTTACAAATAAAGCCTTGCGAACTTTGTAATTTAGTTTTTCAAATATTCCAGATAGACGGACAGCTTTTCCACCTTTAATATAATCCGACCATTCCAATGAAAGAGAATTTTCAGAGTTTACCAAGTCCTCTGTTATTTTTGGTCTAAATGAAAATAAGAAGTTACCTGAAAATTAATCATTAAACCACATCAACACAGTATAAAGGTCAATTGATACAACTGAGTCTCAGAAGAACAGAAAATAATGAATGCTTGAGAAGGAAACATATTTATCCAGGAAAAAAACAAACAAAAACAAAAACTAAGACATAGTAAACAGTATTCAACTTAACCCATTGATGATGAATCTAAAAAAAGAAAAAAACTTTACTCTGTTTGGCCCTGAACTATGCATTTAATTTAAAATGCCCTTAAATGTTTCTTTAATTTAAATGTTAGATATATAATAAAGTGATTTATTATAAGTCTTTACCTAAAAACATAAGCTTTTGGGAGAGTTGATCCTTAACATAGTACCAAAGTGATATGATCCACCATGAGCTATGTCTACGATTCTACTGTATTGAGTTCCATAGAACTCCTGTGTATGTTCTTTACCATGTCCCCCCCCCCCCCCCCCCCCCCCCCCTTTTCCCCCCAAACTCTATTTTTCTCTGAAACACTCGTGTTTTGAGGCTTGTGATAGTGTGAATCTGCTTCCGGTACTCTCACAGGTGGTGGATGTTGGTGGTTGCAGCCAAGACCAGCAAATGGTTGGGAGAGCTCATTGCCGGTTAATAGCTGCATTTGGCTGGAGCTCATGCTAGATTTTCAACAAATTGTTTCCCACTTTGTTTCCTTTCTATCCTGTATTTCAGATTCATTCTTCAAGTTTTATCTTTTTTCTAATTGTTCTTGAAATATTTAGGTTATTTCAGATGTTCTTATGGTTAGGGAATCCCTGTCGAGTTGCCTTTTCTCATTGTTTCTCTCTGCTTGTGTAGCTATTATTCGTTGATTTCCCAATCACATCAGAGTTTGTCTTCCTCTCAGTAATCTATTTCGGTGCTGTGGTGGCTGTCAACAGCCTGTGGTGATTCCAACTGTGCAAGCTAATTGTGATTCTAGGTGTATTTGCTTGTTTCTTTGCTTTGCTGTAATGGGTGTGTGGATTGAAGATTTTGGACAATACTAAGGGCCTTGTCTGTATTATAGGGGTGGTGTGAGACTGATCCACTGTTTTGAGACTAGTAATGAGGACCATTAATGAAAAAGGTTGAAGATGGTTGAATAATATGTTGATAACACCTTCTACTTAGGGAAATAGTTCCAAATTCCTATTTAGGAATTGTGTAAATATTTCAGTTTTTATTTTGATTTGATTTGATTTGGTTTGGTTTCCTGATATTAGTGATTGTAAATCTTTGTATGTAAAATGAACGAGAGTGCTTAGGCATTCCTCAAGCATTTCACAAATTCTCATTTTACATGGTATCAGAGCTAGGTTCATCAAGCCATCAGAAACCCTAATTACCTTCACCTTTTTGCATCCAATCAGTACCATCCGTCGTCTAGGGTGAGACCTATCTTGCTAACAAGGTCCCTGTCAACCCAGAAGCCATTGGTCGGCCACCCTTTAGAGCTACACCACCGAAACCTGCATCACGTGCCACCATGCACGGAAACTTCTATCAACGTATGAGTCTTCTGTCAGCGCACGAATCCCTTGCGCCACCTTGATAGTGTCTATTCTTCATGTCGTCGGTCTCGTCCTGCTCGTCAAAGACTTATCGTCCGGTATTTATGGTTAGCATCCCGACTTTGGTTCATTTTGGCAGTGGGTCATTAGTTTCACTCATTTCTTTTGTACCATCATTTCTTTCTGTGCGTATCCAACCATGTGCCACTTGTCTCAACTGCCTGTATTAGTAGTTAGGGCCTCAAGATCCAGAACCCCTTCTAGTTCTAAAGGTTATCGTTCATCCAGAACGTCAAATCAATCTCATAATGTCTTCTCCAGTAAACCATCTTATTTTGTTTCAGAAATACAATTCCAAGAGTATCTAAAGTCGAAAGCTCAGTCCCCTACTACAACTATTTCTCATGCAGGTAATCCTATGGTTTGTATTCCTCATACAAGTAATAATTCAACATTGTGGATTCTTGATCTAGGTGTCTCTGACCATATAACCAAGAATCGATCATTTTCTTTCTTCTTTTTCTCTACCTGGCCTTTCTAATTGAGTCACTCAAGATTTTAAAGTGACTACCCAAAGTATTGGTCTTGTTTCAACCATGGAATCTATATGATTAAAATAGGTCTTATTTATACTTGGATGTCCTATTAATTTGATTTCCTTAAGTTAGCTTACAAGAATTGTTTAGTAACTTTTAATTTTGATTCTTTTGTCACACAGGATCATGGTACGGGACAAACAATTGGTGTAGGATAGGAGTCATACAGACTTTATTATCTCAAGACAACACCTCATCTGGAGTATGTTACTACTAAATCTCCTAGTTTCCTCCATTAGCGTCTCTGTCATCCTAGTCCTCTCATGGTATTTTGAATAAATATTTGTGTCTGCACATACCCTCAACAAAATGGAGTGGGTGAAACAAAAAATCATCATCTTATTGAAATTGCTCATACAATGTTATAACAACCTAAGATGACTTTGCACTTTTGGGTGATGTTGTCTTCAGTGCTTCCTACTTAATCAATCATATGTCCTCATCTATTCTAAACAATCAAGTTTCATTTTTTATTTTAGAACCCAAACATCCTTTATATACCGTTCCTACTCAAGTGTTTGGATGTACTTGTTTTGTCCATGATTTTTTTCCAAGTCGTGATAAGTTATCACCTCGGGCTATTAAATGTGGACCTCCTTGACTATTTCAGGTTGCAAAAAGGATATCATTATTCACCTGTGACTCGTCAATGGTATACCTGCTAATTTCACCTTCCTCTAAGACATGTCTTCATCTTTTGAGATTTACTTGTTCCCATATTTTGGTCCCCTTGTGTCTCCTTTGCAGGTAACACTTACAAAATCCACAATTATTCAATCTATGCAAGTCCACTGCGTCTCACCTCAACAACCCCTTATTACCTATCAATGTCCTCCAAAGGAGGTCATTCCTATGACTGAGGGGGCAGCCACGGATCCTTGTCAATCATGTTCTATTGCGGACCTAGCCTTTCTCACTTATCCATTTGACCCTAGTGAGTCTATTAGTGATTTTCCTATTGTCATTCGAAAAGGTTTTCAATCCACTCGCAATTCACATCCTATTTATAACTTCTTCAATTTTCCCCGTTTATCTCCATCATATTATGCTTTTGATCTTCCTAGTAATCTGTTAAACTTCCTAAAACTATTGGTGAGGCCCTTTCACACTCTGGTTAGAGACAGATCATGATTGATAAAATGATTACTCTTGAGCACAGTGGTACATGGGACTTGACTTTTCTTCCTCCTAAGGAAAACGATTATTATATGCATATTCTGTCAACGTAAACCCAAATGATCACATCAATCGTCTCAAAGCTTACCTAGTTGTTATGGCCTTGAATACATTGACACATTTTCTATGGTAGCCAAAATGCCTTATATTCGCCTCTTTTACTTGACATGGCAGCTTCCTTCATGATGACCTTGATGAAGAGATTGATATAGAGCAACCATCTGGGTTTGTTTCTTAGGGAGAGTTAAGTTTGGTTTATAAGTTGAAACAATCTCTTTATGGGTTGAAGCAATCCCTCAAGCTTGGTCATACTTATTAATCGCAGATAGCAGCGCATAGCGCCTGACCCTCCAAACTGCTATTGCGCTATAGCGGGTAGCGCTACAATGCTACTGTGCAAAGTGTACCTAAGTGATACACTAAATTGTACTCCACAAATATAAAACTTCAAATATGAAAATGTGACAAAAAAACAAGTTTGAAGGATCTCAAACTCAAACATAAATGATTTCAAACATTAAAATTCAAATCATAAGCAAATTGAAGGAATTAAAGTCTCAAATAATGTAACACAACAAAATAAAGTGGCAAAAATAGTCAAAATTCAAACTGCCACTTAAATGAAATGTCAAAATCAAAGAACTTAAAGGAACTAATAATAATTGAAATCATGAACATCCAAATTTTCATCTTCATTTTCACTTGTATCTAAGTTGTAAATCTCTTCCTTCTACAACGAGAACACTTTTGCGAAAACTACTGTAGCAGTAGCGCCGCGATTCAACCACAATAGCGGCCGCTACACTTCGTCTGACAGTCGCGGGGCGGTCTGTGGCGGCCAGCCGTTGCACTGCAACGCAACTCCACTATAGCGCGCTAAAGCGAGGCTATTCACAAGTATGAGCTTGGTTTGATAAGTTTAGAGTTGTTGTGCATAAGTGTAGGTTGAGACGGATTGTAACTGATCATTCAGTCTTCTATCGACGCTCCATTTGGTCGATGTATTTATCTGATGGTTTATATTCATGATATAGTTATTACAGGGAATGATCATGAAGAAATATCACATTTGAAGGAGATTCTGTTCAGTCACTTCTAGACCAAGACTTGGGCAAGCTACTTTTTTGGTTTTGAGATAGCTCAATCCATGAATGGTATTGTGATTTTACTAAAAAAAGTATGCTTTGGATATATATTATACGAAACCAGTATTCAGACTGCACACCTATTAACATCCAATGGATTTGAAAAAATAACTATCAGCATTGTATCAAAATAAGATAGCATCATTTTAAAATATTGATTTTTCTATCCTTTAATGCCCCCTTCCTTCTCTTTCTTGGTTCCAACACAAATGCTTTCTTGCTTCCAGCAGGCTGTTCCTTGGCATCATTTATGTGGTATATGGCTAATTAGGAAGGAACTTAATCCAAGACTCCATCTTGAATTCTAGTAAAATTAAATGTCTAGAAATCAAGAATAACAATTTGAATAGCAAAGTTAAGAGAAAATCCAGCATAATTAACTAAGACAAAAGAGCTACGAATACTAAGCAGGCACACACACAATCATATTCACCTTTCATGTAGCAAAGCACAATGCATCAAAATAATGATAGAACAATATTTAAAAAATAATGCTAAAATATCTAGGAGTGATAGTGGTGCATCTGAGAAGTAGAGAATAGGAAAGAGGAGAAAAGATGTTTGAAATGAAAAAGAATAGCAAACGATAAAATTACATAGAGATGAAAGCGTATACCAACACTTAAAGACATTAAAGCCCTCTTTACTCCCCCAGAGAAGTTTATAGCGTCAAACATCGCCATGCAATCATCAATTGAATCCCCTGGTTTCAACAACACAGAAGCAAACTCATCCTCCTTTGGCTCAAGTCGCTGGAATTGAAGTTCCATTGAAAACGCAGTTTCATTATGTATTCTGATCAAAGGCGAAACCACAACAAACAAACCAACCTAAAAAAAAATATAATCATTAAGCCTTATTGATGTAGATGAGAAAATTATCTCTATGAATTATATATATATATATATATATATATATATATATATATATATATATGCACACAACTATTTTTATTTTATGATAATTAGTAACACATGATGCAAATCGATACAAAACAAAAACGATACAGATCAAATGTGTGAATCTAAATAGACCATGATGCAACTAAAATTGGCTTGAAGTGTCCGTGTCTGCTTACGTGCATCATTTTGGGCTTTTTAGTTTATTTTTTATTTTTAATAACAATATCATAATTTTGCATTTTTATTTTAATTATTTTCTTATTTTAGGCTTACTTTTTTGCTGATTGATTTGTAATAAGCTATCTTTAAATTAACAACATATAGAAGGGTGTCGAGGACTCAAATTATAGGTTAATACATTTTGAATATTGATTATTGGTTTTGAGAAGAAGGGTTCTCCTTATCAATCTCAAATTCGTTTGTTCAGTCTCTTTTCTATGTGTTTCGACATTAGTTGGTATCCAGAGCTCAGATTGGCTTTCGCTAATGGCTGAACAGAATCATGTTGGGCATGGATGGCAGGTTCACAATGGCTGGGGACATGGAATTGCTCTAGAGACCAAGATGAACACTCGTATCAGAGAGACCTACACGACATAGAAAACAAAGACCTATGACAACGAGTTGAGGAACTAGAACGACAATTTGCAAGATCACAGTTGTCTGTTCAAACTGAAGACAAGATGGAATCCTGAGATGCATCTGATTACGAGGAGAGAGACGTCAATCTCTTTACGGTTTTGAATCAAAAGCGGAATTAAGGAATTTGTTGCAAAGTTCAATCCTCTCTTCCAAATATTGTGAAGATGATCAAGATTCCTGAGGTTAAGGGCAAAACTCATCTGGATGAGTTTATCAATTGGTTGTATACCGTTGAGAAGATCTTTGACATGAAAGATCTAACCGAACACTAGAAGGTCAAATTGGTGGTGATCATATTGAGGAAGCATGCCTCTATTTGGTGGAAGCACGTGAAAATACGTGTTAGGGAGGGAAAATCAAAGATTATGATATGGGATGAGATGAAGAAGTTGCTACGAAAGAAGTTTCTGCCTAATTATTACAGGGAGGAAGCATTTATCAAATATCACAACATAAAGCAGGACGATTTAACAGTTGAACATAAATCAATGAGTTTGACCGCTTGAGGATGTGTTGTGATGTGGTTAAGGAAGATGAACAAACGATTTCTTGATATTTGAAAAGGTTGCGAATTGAGATTTCCGATGTTGTTTAGTTGTATCAATATTGGAGCTATAATGATGTGTGTAGATTGGCTTTTAAAAGTGAAAGGGTAGTGCAAAAGGAAGGAAAACAATCTCAAATTTTAGAGTCAGTTTCCTAAGTCGGTGACAATTGCTAATCCGACACCAATGGTAGCCAAGGAATCCATTTCCAAACTTGTTCTTTCAAGGAAGAACGAAGTAGTAACAAATCTACTAGAGGGGGAGCTATAGCCGAGATGTGCTACAAGTATCAGTGGATTGGGCACTTCGCTACGTATTGTCTAAATGACGAGATTTTGACTCTTATAAAAGCTCCAGCATATGACGGGATCCTTCTCTAATATAAATCCAATGAAGAGCAGCACAATGAGTATCCACTTGTTGAGGCTCCACTTTATGACGAGGTCCATGTCTATGATGAATTTGATGGAGAGCAAGATGATGAGAATCCAATTGTCGATACTCCAGTCTATGACGAGTTCCCTGTCTATGATAAATATGATGGGGAGCAGTACGATGAGAATCCAGAGGCAGATGAAATTCTTTAGTGATTATGGTGAGTCCCTAATTGCCAATAGCGCTTTAAATGATGCTATAGAGAAGATGAATTGTGGCTTAGGCATAACATCTTTCAGACGAAGTGCACTAGAGGAGGCAAGTTGCAACATGATAAAAGAGAGAGGGAGCTGCAAGAATGAAGGCTTTAGATGCAAACTTTAAAATGAACATATAAGATATTGGTTTTCATTATTCACATTGTACTTTCATTGAAAATGAAGTATTGGTGGAAAGTCAATTACTGAAAATCCAAATATCTTAGACAAAGCTAAAGATCAATCCAAAGATGCCATGGGGAATGATCCAAAGACTTTACTTTGCAAGCAAAATTGTGAACTTGGGCACAATCGACATAGCAACCTTGTGCTCCATAGAGATAATGATTTAACTTTTGGTGGAAGTTTAAGTGGAGGTAGTACGCGACAATGGAACTTGATGTTACCTCAGGCAGAATTTGCCTATGATGATTCACAGATACGATCATAAAACCGAACTACAGGCAATAGTCCTTTTGAGATAGTCTATGGGCATAGTCCAGTTACTCTTTTAGAACTCACAACATTTCAAGTCCCTAGGCAGTTTAATTCAAATGCAGATGAATATGTCAAGCGTATCAACGAGTTGCATTCATAAGTTCTACCCTTAATTAGGGAATTTAGTAATATTGTACCAGAAGAGTCGTCACTTGGGTTACCACCTGAAGATGTTGATATCAATGAAGACAAATCAGATTCGAGAGGGAATCTTTTCCTAGTAGGGGAAGATGATGCACCTAGAAGAGTTGCATTCATTACTGTTGACGATTGATGAGTAGGAGAATAACTTGTTTTAAATTTGGTTACTTATGTATTTCGTTAGTTAGATTTTATTTTGGAATTTGAATTTTTATGAAATTATATAATTTTAAGTCATTTTTTATTATGTTTTCAAATATATAGTTCAATACGATTCACGATTCATGACATGAATTGCGATTTAACAACCTAGTTTTATAAAATTATAAAATGTCGGATTATATTTAAATTTGTAATTTAATTTTAATATTTTTAAATAATGTATATTATTATTGATTGTATTTAATTGATTTATTTAATAATTTAATAAAAGGAAATTATTAATATTATATATATATATATACATATATAAATACATACACTCATTTTTAAATATTTTATTTTATTGATTATAATAATTCTATTTATTACTTTTAAAATTTATATTAACCCAATTTCATATTTGCAACAAATATATGTTATAAATGGAAAGCAATTATTTAGGTATAGAACAATGACATTTGCAGATACCTCTGAACTTCTAGAAATGTTAACCACAAACATTGGCCCGGGGAATGTTCTTGAATCTGTTCAATGAAAAATAAAAAAGATAAGGACAGCTTGGTAAAATTTGCATGATCTTAAATATTAAGCCAATGAATAAACCACAAAAGTTAAGAACATGCAACATCCTTGACCACTCAATTCCTTAGCCATGGTTAACAATGTAGAGTAATGAATAAATATGAAATATCTTGTTTACCAATCATTCTCCTTCATGATCAGATAATCGTATTTATATTGTATGTCATAAATGATTCAAGAAGATATAATATGAAAATTGATATTTCACTTAAAGCAACACACTACTTAAGAAATGTAATTTATGTTAGAATATACATACAGGATTTGGGAACAGTGTCCAAAATGCCATCGTTCCTCAACTTTTTTCCCTAAATACCACGCCAACAGTGTTAATTTCCAATATGCCACGTGGGCAAGTTCGCTGGGCATTGTAGCGAACTTGGTTGCAATTAATGTACGTTTTCACCTGTCACGCCACGTGGCAGACATGCAACGAAGTTTGCTGCCCGCCCTAGCGAACTTCATTGCATGTCTGCCATGTGTCATCGTGGCAGGTGGAAACGTGCAGGTGCATTAATTGCAACTAGGTTCGCTACCTGGAGTAGCGAACTTCGTGTCCACCAGGAACGTGACACATCAGCAAACTGAGTTCATTACAGTGCCCAACGAACTTGTCCACGTGCCATATTGAGAATTAACACTGTTGCTGTGGTATTTAGGAAAAAAAGTTAGGGAACAGTGGCATTTTGGTCACTCTTCCCAGTATGTGTTATTTTACTAAGTCGTGTAAATAGGGCCCAAGCCCATATAACTCATTATTATAAATAAAATCCTTGTGTGGTGTGATTTGATACACATTTCCATTAACTTCAAGTTGGTATCCAAGCTCTCGATCTACGATGCTATGCTTCCACGAGACACTAATCCCACTTGGCACATTGCCCAATGGTTGTACATCTTAACAGCAAGTCATCACTGTCATGCATACTACCAGCAGATCTACAACAGTCTATGACCCGTTCCACCGTTATCAGCCACTGTTTGATCGCTGTTCGACCCCACCCCACCGCAGCCAGCAACTTTTTTGGCGACTTCTCCCAACGGACTTCCAGCAATTGAAACCGCCTCCTCACGACAGTTCTTTCTATGCATACGCCATCTCAGTCGAAGGATCGAAGCACTCTCACACACCTGAGGAAGTTTGCGGCTATTCTACCTCTAGCCATAGCACCATAGATGAGCTCGCCTCGCTCCCCTCTATTATGAATTGGCCTCACATGTCAATGGATCCACCCCAATCAATCATGTTATGGCAAGCCAACCGATGATTTGGTCACTTTTCTGGCGTTTCCTCGCAAGTAACCACCCATATTTTAGACGAGGGTCTCTTCCTCTACCGTTTCTGTAAGCTCTAACCAAAATTCTTCTAGACCAACCGCTCTATGCTCCTGTGGGCTCGCTAATATGAATATACCGTTTATTACCACCAAAAAGTTGACTGGGTTAGCTACATACAAACTGTGGTATACCTTTATTAAGATCTGGTTTACTAGTCAAGGATATTTGAATCATCTCATCATGTCACTTGAAGATATTCCCAAGGCCAATAGTCTAAATAAAGAGGGTCGATGGCCAACTTCTAAGCATTCTTTGGCAATCTAATGATTCGGACATCGTTGACCTTTATTTCAAGAGCTACTATAAGGTATGGAAAGAAGCCAAAAATTGCTACGCGAATAGCATCCAACAATTATATTCTATTGTCTCTCATATGATGGAGTTGCGCAAGTCACCAGACACATGGAAAATTATCTTGCCAAGGTTCGAATTTTTATGCAATAGTTTTATGCTTTGTTGCGCCCAACAAGGATCTATTTGAGCACAAGAAGTTGCATTAGTACTTCTTTATGGTCATTGCTCCTTCTAGTCTTCCACGGGAGTTAGATGCGATTCGCCAACAAATTTTGACCATCGTTGATACGCCTTCCCTGTCACAAACATTCCAGCGGCTATTGAACATCTATGATGAGCCTGCATCCATTTTTGCTTCTTCAGACATGCATGCCAATGTCAGATTTTGCTACTCTCGTCTCTTATGCCAATGACTCCAATGGGAACAATGGATGTGGTCGTGGTCATGGGCGCAGACAAAGGCATCAGTGCAATCATTGTCAGAATTTAGGCCATATGAGATAGCAATGTTGGAGAAGCATGGAAAACCACCCTTTGCCAACTTTGCTCAATCGAGACTACATCACCCTTTATCTAACACTCCCAAATTTCTAACAATTTATAAAACATTCTTATAATAAAGAAATTGTCAAAATTCACGTTTTATTTATTTATGATCATAAAAATATTTCGGAGGCTAATCTAAAACTAATTTGAGGAAATGTTACTGCTGCACCTGTACAGGGACAAGTGCAAGGCTAACTCTATTACATTCAAATAAAAAACAAAGACTACGTTTTTATACATAATATTTATGATTAGCTAAAAATTCTGAGTCGTTATCCTGCCCACTACTAGCCCATTCCTTGCAACCTGATTTACTGAAAGTCTAGTCCCCCGAAGGATCATTGCAATCAACAAACACAAACACAAAAGTCAGCAAAGCTGGTAATCCTAATCAAAACATAATTATATAATTCAAAATAATAATCAAATCAAAAATGTAATCACAACAATTTCAATATTCATCATATATATATATATATATATATATATATATATATATATATATATTAAATCTATTTTTATAATTTATCTTTATTAAATTCCTTTAGTGGGAAGAGAACCATGGTAGACCCGGGAAACCCTGTCAGTCTACCCTTTGACCCAGGAAACCCTGTCAGTCACAAATAATCAAATTGGCCATAATCAAAACATATCTTCCTAGTGTGCACACATCTTCCCAAAGTTGCTACTAGTATCCCAGAAAACCCTGCCAAACACCACTTTGGGAAAAACGGATAATATTTGTTCACATCGTATAAATATATCGGAAGCATAAAGCCCAAAGGTCGTGTTCCTCACTTTAGGAGGTACCTTCCCAAAGCTATCCTCCTACTATTAATTTATTTCAAACACACAATTACGAAAAATTCAATCATAATTATTTAATCTTTAAGTATTATCATTTCTAAATGAGTTTCTCAAGGGCATCATAATTTTCCAGAGTACCATAATTCAAACATCTATCATCATAAATTTTCGAATTTATTTAAGGGATATGATGATTCAAATATTCCACATTTATCATAGTAAAACCCAAATCATCATAACTTTCCAATTTATTTAAGGATATAACAATTCAAATCTTCAACATTTATCATAGTAAAACCCAAATCTGATCATCATCATAACTTTCCAAATAATTCAAATATTCCACATTTATAATAGTAAAACCCAAATACGATCATCATCATAACTTCCCAAATAATTCAAATATTCCACATTTATAATAGTAAAACTCAAATCCAATCATCGTCATTCAAATAATCTCATCACATCAATTATCATAGTTATTCAAATAATTCAATCATATAAATATTCAAATTCAATCATAAAACACATATTTGAAAAGTTTTTCTTAAAGAGTACCATAATTTCCAGAAATATTCAATAAGATCCATTATACATAATCAATTCTCATATCATAATCATAATTTCCAAATTTATTCAATAAGATCCATATATTGCACAAAAATCAATTTTTATATCATATATTGCACATAATCATAATTTCCAAAATAATAAAGTTTTCCAAAAATTATTATAATTATAGTATGTAGTAATTTAAATAAAAATTACCTAAAAAGTATTGTTCATACAAAATTAACCTAAGAACACCTAGGAATTAGGATTACCTGGTCTCCGTGTTTGCTAACCCTAAAAGAAATAGTGATTTGAGTAGAGAAGCGGTTGGTAACCAAAAGAAAATAATGATTTGAGCAGAGAAGCGATTGATAACCAAAGGAAAATAATAAAATAAAAATAAATAAAATAAAATAAAATTTTGAAGTAAGAAGAGAGAGTAGCAGAGGAGAAGAGAAATACTGAAGATTGGTTAGGGTTACGCTAAACCTCTATTTATAGCTGGAGATATGGGCTTTATCATATCTAATCCAATCAAATAAAAATTGTTAACTCATCCTAATCTAATCACATTACCAATCAAATATTAATGCATAAATGATCAATCAATTAATAATTCAATTAATCGCAATTTATCATTAGTCCTAATAATATATATATACATTATTATTATTACTACTAATTTGTAATTTATTATTATTACTACTAATTTGTAATTTATTATTATTATTAATATATTATTATTGTAAATTACTATTATTTTTCTGGGATTTTACACTTTACTTCCTCCGTGACTATTTTAGTGCAAAATATGAGACTTTCCTCCGACACAAGTCCGCTATGGACACCGGTAATCTTGCTACTTATTATTCTCAACTGTCTCTTGAGCTTTGGATAATTGACTATGGTGTTTCTTATCACCACCGAGGTAATAGGGATCTTCTTACTTCTCTTACCTATTTGATAATTTGCTTTATCCTTATCTATGGCACCAAGCGAATTGTTTGTGATATCAGACAAGCCAACCATATTCCTCCTTACCTTTGAGTTTTGTGCTTTGTGTCTCTGGCTTCCCTTTTAATTCCAAATTTATTAGTCAACTAGCTCGTCCTCTTTCGTGCTCCATTAGATTAACTAAAATTTTGCTTTTGTGCAGGATCCGAGTATGGGAAGGACAATTGGAGTAGGACGTGTCATGAGATATCTACCATCTTGCTACGCCTAGCTCCCCAGTGGCATGTTCCATCACAAACTCTCTAGAGCTTATTTATAGTCGTCTTGGACATCCAAGCTCCAGCGGGGAAAACACACGTTCTTCCTTCACGAGTCAGGTCAATAAATGAGCTAATACTCGCTTTTCTGTTGTTCATTCCGAAATATAGGGTTCAAGTCAAATCGTGTCTATATTAGGTTTTTAATATTGTCACTTGGAAGGCTCGAAACAACTTTAGGAGAGAGGAAAAGAAATCAAGAATTGTTATTTCTTTAGACAAGGAGCCATAGTAACAAAATTTATCTTTAAACAATTTTACTCTAGAGCATATTAGGTAATCTTGGTTTACATAGGCCAGCCCAGCTGATAAAAAATTATTTAACGAAAATGCATGGACAATATAGTAGTTAAGAAAGACCTTCTCTTGACATTATTCGGGTTCTCCAAGCAAAAGTTTGTGTTTGTGAAAGTAAGAGATGAATAGAAGAAGTTGCAAGCGAACCAAAATCAGCAAGTTGGATAGAAATAGAAGTTGCAGCTTCTGAATCTCGATTTTTAAAGTCAGATAGCCTCCTGTCACAAAACAAACACAAATTCCCAATCATTGAAAAATAGGTATCCAATATTAACCATTAAAATTTTGATATCCAACAACAAATATGAACGAACAATAACTTAATTACATGCCTCAAGTTCTCAAAATAGAAGAGAGCAGGATAGGAAAGAGAAAAGGGAAAGATGAGATCCTTTGGAAACCTTCCCACAACATCATACAAGCACAAAATCTGAACACAAGTATCAAGACCTACCATCCAACAATATAATATCAACCTGGATGAGGCAAAAATCAAGATCTAGGATGAAATAGTCAAATTTAGAATCAAAATGATTGTGAAATATTATTTACAAATGTCATGAACCAACTATCCCAAAAAATTTAAACTGATAGATGAAAACAGATAAATGATCTTATGTTATATCTCTAACATACCCCTTAACACAAGAGCCCTTTGGGCTCGAAGCGATGATAATGCACAAGCCCCACCTTCCTTGTGCTAAAATTCAATTTTATTAGAAGAATGGAGACGACAAGGATCGAACTCCAAATCACTTGACCAAAGAGGCTCTCATACCATGTCATAAATCAACCATCCCAAAAGCTTTAACCATTAGGTGAAGACACATGAGTAGTTTTATTTTATATCTCTAAAAAATAACAACAAAGAATAATTAATCAGGAATACACACGCTATGGATGAAAATGGAAATCAAATTAGTCTGCGAATAAAAGTTCTTTTGTGTGCCAAAAAGCTTACACTTTCCATAATAAGAACTATATCATGTACACTCTCCATAAGTAAACTTGTTTGATATTTTATAACACATTATGTACATGACAGTGCATGATAAACTGCATACCTTAATAAAACGGAGGCAGACTGTTTTCTGGGTATTGTTACCCCTTGCTGATTGAAATGAAAAAGAAGATTTAAGCCTGACTGATTCTCCACCTGCCATCTAGCAATTATTATTAGTTGATTGTATTGACACCAATCGCATCATCAATTTGGTGGTGCTTAAAAATCAGGATATTTGACTTAAGGTATGCAAGACATAGACAAAGAGAAGCTCAAATAAGAAATTGTGTGTTAAGTAAAAATGGAAAATGAGAGAAGAAACATCAAGCAAGGTTCAATTTTTAAAAAAGAGAACCTTGCAGCAGTTAGCCAGAATCATGGAGCTTCGCAGTGAATAAGGACCAGAAAGGTTCAATTTCCCAATCATAAAGAGAAGCACATCCAACGAATTCTCACTTAGGGATACATCCAGCTGCCCAGACGATCAAGAAAGTTTAGAAAATAGTGATAGAAAGTCCAAATGAAAGTAAAAAAAAACCATAAAATCAAATATGACTAACAACCTCTTTAATTCTGCAGAAGAAATTAACAGGAACAGCACGAGATGCATATTCTGAAAGCTGGACTTGAACATTACATCGGTAAAAAGAGCAAATTTCAACAGGATGGAGAAACTCTCCCCTAAAATAAAATAAAAAATATAAAAAAAAAAAAAAAAAATCAATAATGTAGTTCAAATAAAATGTGATTGGTAAAAAGGAAATGTACAACTCAGATGGGAATTTAGACAAACCATAAATTCCTTTGAGCATCAAAATAATGTAGTACTGCACTTGATGTGCTTATGACCCGGGATTTTGTAGCTAAACTTTGTATGATAAGTTGTGTATTGTTGACGAATAACCGAATGAGAGGGAAGAGATCTTCTGTATCCGAAAGCTCATGAACAATATTCAGAGAAATTTTCTCAATTTTAATATCAATACACGGAATTTTTCCACACTGCCAAGAAGTACTTTCTTCATTAGCATGCAAACTAGTTTGCGGTGCCATTCTCGGGTAGCTAGCTGTCTCTGAAACATCATAAGGAACAGAAAGATCATTAAAAACTTTGAACTTGATTGGATTCCCCGGCTTCCTGACAAATTCTGGAGCACCATCAGCAAAAGCAATAGCACAGTTATTCTTTTGGTTCAAAAGGTAGAAAGTTCTCTTCACTGATTGATTGCAAGCCTCCCAGTCAGTAACTCCTTCATAATTTTCACTCTCAAGAGGATAGACTCGCCAGAGTGCACATCCTCCATCATTAGTACAGGAGACGTCAACAAAACATGATCCTGGCCGAAAATTTAATCTCAATGGCACACCCATCTCATTCCTAGCAAACAATGATACCAAAGAAAACCACAAAACTGTAGACTTCCATCTCCTTTGGATGCAGTGTTTGACCTGCAGAAAAGCTTTAGTTAATACATTTGCTACATGCACATCATGAAACCACAAAAACTAAGGACAACCAACATTTCCAATCAGAGAATTAAGATGAAAGGAAAATTTAGCTCGAAAATGAAGCAGTGAAAGATAAAAGACAACTATACCGTATTCGACAAGCATAAACCTGAGCATCCAACCACTGAAGTTTGCCAAAGCATCTCTCAATTGAAATAGAAGATTTCATAGAATACATATTTAAAATCATATTCACGAACATATACATAAAAATCACACCGAGCACAACAACAAGCACCATTACTGACTTAATAAGCAACTAATGAAGATATTCTAAACAACAGTCCTAGAGAACTACAAACCCCATTGCAATATTGTGTTTCAAATTTCCTCAACTTCAACTAACAGTAAATAAAGAATAAAAATTGCAATACTTCCTTACATCCCACAGAAATTGTTCACACACAATACATAAAAGAGGTCAGACCTCCTCATGGAGCATTATCTTTCACTAACTACCCTTCATAAAACATTAACTGACTTTCTTCTGAACTGAGGAGAAATTTATCCTCTATTACAACATAGTAATTGTCCTATACTGTTCACAAATCATAAACTACCCATAACTGCCTACAGCTAACATAACACATTATTACAATACAGTAACTACACATTATTCCTTTTTCCAGCTTACGAAATTTGTCAACTTTCTAAACATGGGAAAGCAACTTACTCACCTCAAGGGTATATTTAACCTTTATAGGGGTAACTTGGGTGTACCTCCTAAAAACAAAATCTGAAGTTCTGGCAACCTTTAAAAACTTTCACATGCTTATTAGAAACCAATTTCAAACTAATATTCAAATTCTGAGGTCCGATAATGCTAAAGACTATTTCCACCATGACCTTATCTACTATCTCCATACACATGGCATAATCCATCAAAGCTCTCGTGTTAACACACCCCAACAGAATGACCTTGCAGAAAGAAACACTAGACATATCCTAGAAGTGGCTAGAGCTCTCATCATATCATCCAATTCTCCCAAGCAATTTTGGGGTGAAGTCATCCTCACTGCCACATACCTTACTATTAGAGAATAGTATAAACCATTAAAAAGGCCCTCATCCAACAGCTTAAGCTTTTGGGTTGAATTGGTTCTTTACATGGTATTAGAGCCCTATATATATATATATATATATATATATATATATATATATATAAAACTATTGATGGACCTTCACTACCAACTTGAGTTGTTGAGTTGAAATGGTTGTTTATCATGGTACTAAAGCCTCGGTGACCACGGGGTTACGAGTTCAATTCTCACAGCCCCCCACTTTTTAGTGGAAATAAGTCAACACAAGTTAGAACCAAAAAATTGGGCCAAAGCAATATCCACGCTTGAAGTCCAAGGGACTCTTACGTTAGAGGGTGTGTTAGAGAAATATAATATATACATAATATTAAAATCATTGATTGGATCTTTACTTACTAGCTTGATCTGTTAGATGATATGGTTGTATAACAAGCAATAAATTTGGTTAAGACAGAAGACAACTATACTGTATTCCACAAGCAAAAGCCTAAGCATCCAACCACTGAAGTTTGCCAAAGCATCCTCTTAATTGAACTAGAAGAATTCATAGAACACAAATTTCAAGTCATATTCATATCTTATACATAAAAATCACACCAAGCACAACTAGCAGCATTATTGACTTAATAAGTGGCCAATGAAGATATTCTAAACAACAGTTCAAGAACAATAAACCTCAGTGCAATGTTACATTGTGTTCCTGTTTTCCTCAACTTCAATTAACAGTAAATAAAGAATAAATTCTGCAAGACTTCCTTACATTCCACAAAAAATTGTTCGCGTACAATACATACAAGAGGTTAGATCTCTCCAAGGAGCACTCTCCTTCACTAACTTCCCTTACATAAAACATTAACTGACTTTTTTCCTAACTGAGAAATAATTTATCTGCTTATTACAGTATAGTAACTGTCCTAAACTGCCCACAAATCATAAACTACTCATAACTGCCTACAACTAACATAACACATTATTACAATATAGTAACTACACATTATTCCTTCTAGTACAGACTTTGAAAGGTAGTTTTCTTGCACATATCTTGTTAAGTCTCTAAAAATACCTTTTTTTAAAAACAGATAATCAAGAGTTCGACAAGGTCTTCAAGTATTGATTACTAAAAGGAGAGAGAGATCAGCAAAGTTTGCAGCAATTGCAGATAGAGTCAATGATTGAACAAAGACTCCCAAAAAATAAAATAAAATAGAAAGGCAGATAAGCTGGACTTATTTCATACCCTGAAAAGAGCCCTTTCTCCTACAAGAGAATAATGAATGACACCGCCAATACTGAAAGTCTTTTCTTCTCCTTCAACAGTAAAATACATGTGTTGGTTGACATCTTGAATAGCAACAATTGCCCCTACACGAGATCATGGCTAATTACAACAGCAATTTTCCAAAAGATTATAAACAGATAACATAAAGCTTGAGTCTGAGTACCATCAGGAATCATTGCTTCCAAACTATTGTCAACTTCATGCCTAGTAGAACAATGGTTTCTCTCCAATTCTCTTACTGTATTCTGACTGGATATCCCAGAGAGTGAGGAGGCCATTGACAAAATTGTCTGGCATATTTGGATAAATGAAACAAACGTAACATACCTTTAGTAGCAGTACATGCTAGAAAGAAAAATTAATAATACAAGATTGCAAAATTTAATTTTACAATAACAGCAGCAGGTACAATTACTGACAAAACATTATAATTAGTAGGAAAGTTCACCTGAATTTCAGATACAGAAAGTGTTATATCAAAACCTGAAAGAGAACCAATGCCAAACCAACACCGAGACAAATGCAAAGAACCATTATCTGGCCTTTCTAGTGACATGAAAGCTCTTAATGCTTTCAAAATTTGGTTCCGATGACTTAACTGGAGAGGAACAGGCTCTTTTGAACTACTTGCATCACTAACTGATTTCAATTCACCATAGTTCTGAAATCCTGAAAAAGGATCTGCAGATGCAAGGTGAGATGACAAATCTTTTGATGTGACAGAAGAAAAATGAGGAATTGATGTTTCATCATCCACTCTCTCATGAATAATTTGAGAAAGGATTGACAGACGAGAAAGGTCAACTGTTAATTTTCTCCCAATAGTTGCCAATTCAAATTTCAGATGGATATCAACTTCCAGTACAATTTCTCGGATACCACCTGCAGTAATGAATTGCATATTTAACAAAAAATTTCCCATTTACACTGCAAAACTAGAGAAGACGTTAATTACCAGATTCGTTTTCAAGTGCTAAAACAAGAGAAAAGTAAGACAAAGATAAGTCAAATGCATCCGGCAATCCACTTTCAGCTTGTTGAGATGTGCTAACAGTCCCTTGATCAATCTCATCATCAAGATCATCGCTCTCTTTGTCATGATGTGCCTTCCTGATACCTTTATTAGGTTGCTGTGCATGAGAAGTGAGATTCCCAATATAGTGAAGATATGAAGAATAGTTATCAATGGCCATTGCCAAAGATGCTGTTTCAAGAACAATTAGACCACCCTGCCCAATAATATTTATAATTTATTAGGACAAGATGTAAATTTTAAATCTTGAGATCTTAGCATTAACAAAAAACAGTTTCATCTGTAAAATAGATAAACTCCTTGAGATTCAATTTGTAATAGAAGGATATAGATGCAGGAACATGCCCGAGAGATTATATGCCCTCACTAGATCTTCAAATTATTACCTGGATCTCCCAGGATATCAAACGAAACTCTCCACCGATAGAAAGCAATGCCTGAAGCTTATTTGATTTATGTGCTTGAACCAGATCACTCTTCATTGAGTATCTTCCTATGAAGATATTAGTCACTGCAACATTTATTAGTAACCAGCGACTTGCTAAAGCTGGCGCACTGGTATTTGTAGGAGACCCCATTTTTTTAACTAAGCAGAGAGATTGATTATTTGATCTTTCAGAAACTGTCAAATTGGTTTCTCGTACCAAGTAAGATATATTACCATCAGAATTAAAACTACCAATAGTTTTGCTCTCATTTCCCAAAGATGAAGTATTCTGATCCAGACCCAAACATAAAGTAAATGCGAAACTAGAAAGAGATATTTCATGTAAACAATTAACAGAGCGCAATACAAGATTTTCAAGTACAACATGATCATTGCTGTTTCCAATTGAGTTCTGATATTCAAAAACAAAAGACATGACTTCTGATAAATCAGTGAGGAGATCCATTTTCCCTTCTTCACAAGATATTACAGTAGTTGCCTGCTGAAAAGAAATCCAAATTCCAAAGTCAGGAAACTTTTGCTCAGCCAATTTGTTGCTGGTTAAAAAGTCAAACTTTCTGGTATAACTTTCCAAATTACTACTCGTCCTAGAATTATGAAGAATGACATCCATCGACTTAAATCTGCAGGTCCCATTAATAAAAAAAGGGCAGATATTATTTGCCAGTAAAGCCCCTCGTATAGTGGCCTCACTGCTATCAGGTCCTGCAAACAATGCCTCTTGTTTCATAATTTCAGGACGTATGCAATCAACATCTTCAAAGCTACTGAACAGATAAGATACCACAGAAGATAAACTTGCAACTGCCTGTCAATAGGGAAAAAGATCCTTTAGTCATGACTTGGCAACATGCATATATAAATTAGTACAGAAATGTGTTTATTAAATATACTCTTGCACATCAAAGCAAAAGGAAAGCAAAATAACCACGTAGTTTAAAAAATTCCACCAGTACTACCTCAATGTTTGAATAAAGCGAATTTTTCTTTTGATGTATCCACTTGAATATAAAGTAATATGCTGTGTATTAATCAGATACAAAGAGTTACAATATATAGAGACCCTAATGGGCTTAAGTGAGAAGCCCAGAACTAATCCAAAGGAATAATATTTACAGATAGGAAGTAATCTAATCATATCTAATTGTATCTAATCATATCTATTCTAACACTCCCCCTCAAGCTGGTGCGTATATATTGTGAGCACCAAGCTTGCTACAAATGAATTCAACCCGAGGACCTCTAAGAGCTTTAGTGAAGACATCCGCTAGTTGATCATTAGAGTTGACAAAAGCTATCTTGATTTCTCCTGACTGAATCCTTTCTCAAATGAAGTGACAATCAATCTCTATATGTTTGGTTCTCTCATGAAATACAGGATTAGAGGATATATGTAGCGCAGCTTGATTATCACAAATGAGTGTCATGGGTTGTTTCTGTTCACAAAGACGAAGCTCCTGAATCAACTGCTTTAACCGGATTAACTCACATGTAGTAATTGCCATTGCACGATATTCAGCTTCTGCACTAGATCGAGCAACAACAGGTTGTTTCTTGCTCTTCCAAGAAATTAAGTTTCCACCAAAGAAAACACAATAGCCAAAAGTAGAGCGCCTGTCTGAGGGTGATCCTGCCCAATCAGCATCTGAATAACCACAAATTTCTGTATTTCCCTGATCTGAATACAACAAACTTTTTCCTGATGCTCCTTTGATGTATCGGAGGATCCTCACAGCAGCATCCCAGTGAGAATCACAAGGGGAATCAAGGAACTGACTAACCGTACTAACAGCGAAAGAAATGTCTGGCCTAGTCACCGTAAGATAATTGAGCTTCCCAATTAGCCTCCGATAACGACCAGGATCAGATAACAGCTCCCCCTGTCCGGGCAATAACTTGACATTGGGATCCATGGGTGTATCAATTGGTTTACACCCCAACATACCAGTCTCTTCTAGGATATCCAAGGCATACTTCCTTTGACAGATAAAAATGCCCTGTCTATATTGTGCTACCTCAATTCCCAAGAAGTAACGCAGCTTCCCGAGGTCCTTTGTTTGAAATTGACTGAATAAATACTGTTTTAACTGACGAATTCCAGCTTGATCACTCCCGGTGAGGATGATGTCATCAACATAGACTAACAAATAGATGCACTTACCAGGAGATGTGATCGTATAAAATACAGAATGGTCACCTTTACTGCGAATTAAGCCAAACGCCTAAACAGCAGAACTGAAGCGACTGAACCATGCCCGAGGAGACTGCTTGAGACCATATAAGAATTTTCGAAGACGACACACCTTCCCAGACTCCCCCTGAGCAACAAAACCAGGTGGTTGCTCCATATAAACTTCTTCTTGTAAATCACCATGAAGAAAGGCATTTTTTATGTCAAGTTGAAGGAGTGGCCAGTGACGAACAGCAGCAAGAGCAAGAAATAGGCGAACTGACGCCATCTTAGCGACCGGAGAGAATGTATCGCTATAATCAAGGCCAAAGATTTGAGTAAAACCCTTTGCAACTAGGCGTGCCTTGAGTCGATCAACATGGCCATCAGGTCCAACTTTCACAGTAAAAACCCAGCGACAACCAACGATAGACTTCTCTGGAGGAGCAGAAACAAGGTCCCAAGTGCCATTGGAATGAAGTGCAGTCATCTCATCAAACATCGCTTGGCGCCACCCTGGATGGGAAAGTGCTTCACCTGCGGTCTTAGGAATAGAAACAGAAGAAAGACTAGAAACAAAGGTGAAATGAGGTGGAGAAAGACGGTCATAGCTCAAAAAGGTATAAAGAGGATAAGGGTTACGAGTAGTACGTGTACCTTTTCTTTGAGCAATGGGAAGAGCCTCTGGTGAAGGAGCCGGAGTAGAAGAATCAACAGCAGTGGGCAATGCGTCAGCAAGAGTCGAGTCGATAGGAGGCACAGTTTTGCGACGCTGATAGGTGAGAAGTAGACGGTCCTCAGGTATAGAAGCTATAGGTTGCTCATCTGGAATAGAAGCACCTGCAGCTGGAAAAGACAAGTTAAGAAAAGGAACAGGAAGAACATGATCAACCTGTGACAATTGAGATGGGATAGAATTAAAGGGTTGTTGATCAAGAAAGGTGACATCAGCGGAAACTAAGTAACGCTTAAGATCGGGAGAGTAACAACGATAACCTTTTTGAAGACGAGAATAACCAAGAAAAATGCATTTAACGGCTTTGGATGTTAACTTGTCCATGCCAGGAGTGAGATCATGAACAAAACAGGTACAACCAAAGACATGTGGGGATAGAGGATAGAGAGGAACATCTGGAAGCAATAAGTTATAAAGAATGTCATTATTAAGCACAGATGAAGGCATACGGTTGATGAGAAAACAAGAAGCAAGGACTGCATCGGCCCAGAAGTGAAGAGGAACATGCATGTGAATAAGAAGAGTTCGTGCAGTCTCAATGAGATGTCTATTCTTATGTTCAGCTACTCCATTTTGTTGTGGAGTGTGAGGACAAATAGTTTGGTGTAGAGTACCCTGTGTGGCTAAGAAATTAGAAAAGTCAACAGAAACAAATTCCTTAGCATTATCACTACGTAAAATACGAATAGAAGCACCAAATTGAGTATGAATTTCAACAGAGAATCTTTGATAAATAGAAAATAACTCAGAACGGTTTTTCATTAAATAAATCCAAGTACAACGGGAAAAATCATCAATAAAGGTAACAAAATACCGAAAACCTAAAACAGACACACTACGACTAGGACCCTAAATATCTGAATGAATAATTGAAAAAGGAGCATCAGCTCGTTTATTGACTCGATGAGCAAAGGAGGAGCGTATGTGCTTTCCTTGCTGACATGACTGGCAATCTAAAGTCTGAAGACCGGATAAAAGAGGAACCATCTTATGTAATTTTCAAAAACTAGGATGCCCGAGGCGACTGTGGATGAGTTGTGGAGATTCTGTGAGAGAACAAGCAACGGAAGGACTCGGCACAACCAGGTAGAACAGACCCCGTGACTCACGGCCCACTCCAATCGTCTTCCCCGTACCCGGGTCTTGCACAGAAACAGAAAGGTTTGAAAAGGTGACAATACAGTTAAGAGAGTTGATCAATTTACTAACAGAAATTAAATTATAAGGGATGTTAGGAATGTAATAGATAGATTTGTCCAATCCCATGAACAGAGGCCTTAGTGCCATCACCAAGAGTAAAAGAGGGTAAATTATCAGAATATGTAAGGGAAGAAAAGAGTTCCTTATTACCACAGAGGTGATGAGTAGCACCTGAGTCAAATATCCAAGGACCAAGTGATGCAGAATGAGAAACACAAGGAACGGGATTACCAGTTTCTGAAGCAGAGGCCTGAGACTGAGGAGAGGCCTTCCTGAGAAGGGTCTGGAGTGCTGCATAGTCTTCAGAGGATAGAGAGACTGTACCATTTGAAGCAGTATCCGATTGAGCTATATTAGCAGCATGAGAAGGTCGCAAGTGAGGATACTTTATGTAGCAACGTTCCTCATAATGACCAAGTTGCTGACAATAATGACAACGAGGTCGCTGACCACGTCCTCCTGGGCCACGTCCTCCCTGGCCCCTACCACGACCACGTCCACCTCCAATGTTCCCGCGAAAGTCAGTACGGGAAACTAGAGCAGTGGAATCACCAACAGCAGATTTCTTATTAAGATTCAGAAGACGTTGATACGTCATTGATAGATCAGGATCCCCACTAGTCAAGATAGTATCCCGGACATTATCATATTCTTCGGGGAGACCAGACAGTGTGGCAACTATAAAGAGACGTTCCACCTGTTTCCGATATGCAGAAGCATCAGTAGGGTAAGGCAACATATCCAAATATGCCTGCATCAAAGATCGACCTTTGCCAACATATGTCTCCATCTGAATGTCGGATGATTTGCTCAGTTCCATAAACTGAGAATGATGAAATAGAGCTGCTGAACATCATTAGTGTGGAGATTTTTTGCTTCCTCCCACACTTCAGTGCAAGTCTGAAAAGAATAGAAGATGTCCAAGACGACTGGATCAATAGACTGCCAAAGGATACTCAGAAGCTGGTTGTCAATCTTTTCCCAATCAGATTTTTCCTCCTTAGGAACATCAGTAGACTTAGTCGTGAGATGGTTCCCATGTCCCTGTCCAAAGAACCAAACTCGAACAGAGGTGGCCCAGTTCTTGTAATTAACATAACCCTTCAACTTTGAAGAGGTAATGGACCCAACATTGGTGGAGATGATATTGGGAGAACTTTTGACAGGAGGAGGTGGAGAACTGACCTCCGAATGAACAGGAGAAGTTGTTGTCATTATATTAAATCACAAAGATATAAACCGAGTAAATAGGAACGAACCTGATCACTGATCAAGAAGAGGCGCGCACAAAAAGTCAGACCCACAGAGAACCAACCACAAATCAGGAAAGAGGAGGAGGAGGCGAGCTTCTCTGTCCAAGACCGACCGGAAAAAGCTGCCAGAACAATGCACACGCACGGGCAGAAGGTAGCGCGTGAGGCCCACGCGCAGAGGAGTTGGACGGCGCGTGACGACTGCGATGGTGGCCAGACTTCCACAGACTTGGTCGCCAGGAGGAGACGATCTTGATCGCGTGCGGTCCAGGCTGAAAACTCGCCGGAAAACTTCTCCAGCGGCCTGAACAGTGACGGACGGTGGTTTTGGTGGCCGTCGGAGGTGCTAACGCGTTCGGGAATTACTCAGAAGGGGTTTACAGCCCTTGATGGCTTGCCGGAAGGACGCACGGCAAAGAAAAGAGGACTCCTAAGCAATGGGCTTAGGT